GGCCGAATTTGAAATCAGGTCCTCCTGACTCCAGGGCTGGTGCTCTATCCACTGCGCCACCTAGAGGCTCCTCCAAGGTTTTATCTTACTGCCTATATCTGACAACCATTTTGATAGAAAAATATGGGGGGGGAAGAAGTTTAAGTAATAAGGTGAATTAAGATATTGATTGGGCAGTAAGAGCCCCAGGCCTTTTCAGAGACAGGAAATATCATTGAGTCAATCAAACATACTAATCTGAGGGATGCCAGTCACTACCTATCCAGACTTCACTGAAGAGACCATTAGAGTTGATCTGCAGGGGTGGTTTTGGGGGAATGATGGAAGAAAAGGGCCAGTGTTGAAATTATGCCATAGCTTGGCCACATCTCTGACCTCTCCCCTCCTACTGCCACCCATGTATTCATACAAGTAGCAGTTTTCCACTCATTCTAGCCATATGTATCTCTCAAACCCTTTAACTATATACTGGAATCCATAAACACTACTCTTGGAGTATCTGAAGGAATAAAATATTGTGAGCATAAAGATAAAAGAAATTTGGAAGCAAATTGAGGAATCCCTCAAGATAGAAACCAGAAGAACCCCACAACACAGAAGAACCTGCTCCCAACTACTTCAAATCCTTCATTTGCTGGAAAAAACAGACATGTAGATGGCTAATAAGCAAAAACCAAGAGAACTCTGAGGCAAGGCAGGGTAACCAAATAAATCTATCAAACAATTTTATGATTCCAGCAGCACATTTTATTATTTTTCAGTGAGGTAGCAGTGTCTTTGTGGGTATTGTTGTGGGACTGCCACGTTCATTTTATTTTCTTGAAATGTTAGCAAAGAATTCTAGTACAAAATATAAATAATTTAGTATTTTTCTTATTATAGTTATGATTGAGTATGAGGACTACAGATTTTAAGTTTTAAATATGTAGTCCTAAATATACATTTAAATTACTGTTAATAGCTGATATTTAATAGTAAAGTTTCCAAAACACTATACATAATCTCATTTCACCTTCACAACAATCCTATGAATAAACGCATTCAATATGAGTGAATATGGGTCTTATCCCATATTTCAGAAATAAGGTAGCTGAGGCTAAGGTTAAGTGACTTGCTCACATAACAAAGACAGCATCAGAAGCAGATTTCTCCTGATGATAAATCCAATACTCTTAACTTTTTGTTCACCCCAAGTACATGGTGGTCACTTTTTAAGGAAGAGGCAAATCACTATTACACAAACTTATATCAGTTCATTCAAATGCAACCTGCAGGGTACATCCAATGATCAGCATAGATTTGGTCCAATCTCATACAACAAATTATTGATGTAAGATCCCAAAGGAAAGGGCAACTCTTTCTTATTCTTGGCTGTAATGAGGCTACCATCATTTTAGCAGTATTTCTAATAATGATAAAGCAAGTATAACAGGAAAGCAAAAAATGAAGATGATAGCTTAAAAAAGATTCAAATAGAAAGCCCAATGTTCCCTAAGCAATCTACTTGGTAACAAATTTATAGTAAATACAAATAGCAACAGAAGTTGCTTGAATTACTTTTTCATCCATACCCTAAGACCATTTTCAAGGCAAAAACAGTGTTTCACTTCCTAAAGGCCAGTTATCCTCCCCACAAAGTTAGGGGGTTTGGGGGGAAAACAGGGAGAACTGTTTGAACACTTTTATGAGCAGGGGGTGGGGGGACAGGGTAAACAGGAAACAGAAAACCAAGGAACGTTTCTATGTCAACCGAACCTTCCCCTCCTATTCCTTTGCAAAAAATAAGACAAAAAGTTGGCTTTCTTAAGATATTGGTGATCCTTAAGATCAATTAAATAATATGGCAATTAGAAAAGCATCTCCTTGTTAGAATCCTTAAGATTTCCAAATACTGGCCTCAATAGAATAGTAAATAAAATAAAATGGGGGGGAGAAGAGAGAGAAAAAAAGAGATACTACAGAAAAAACAAGTGGATGCCAAAATATCTATCCTTAAATATATGTGGCTAGCTTGCATGCAGTATCAGGAACAATCTATTAACCCCATCTCTCACACCACCACACAAAACACCAGTTTATTACACCTACTCCCCCACACATATAAAATGCACACCAAACTAAGATTCCTGCTGTACAAAGTAGCATTTCAATAACTCATACAGAAAACAATGAACCTCTTGTTGAAATAATCAAGCTCTGTTTCATTTGAGCCCAAAAGTCATGTTAAAAATGTAGGAACCTGACCAATGAGATCAAATTTGCTCAATAATCCACAGAATAAAAACTTACTATTAATGGAAAACATGGTCACTACTTTTTAAAAGAAAATCTCCTCTTAATGGAACTTATCAATTCCAATTCACTTTCAAATACTTGCCTATCTACTAAACAATTTTAATAGGAAGAGTTTAAGTGAGATTACAACCAAATACTTATTCTTAAAATTCTACTAAGAATCAAAATTGCAGGTAATTCAATGGGTAATGAAAGGAAAAGATGCAAGACTTCAGCAAACAGTAACATAAAAGTCATCATCAAGGACATATGACTGGAAAAGGAAGCCAGAGAGGGGAGACATCCAACACAAGTTCCACACTAGTATTTTGGATATAGCCTTCAATGCAAGGGATTGTTACTTCATGTAAATTTAAGGGAAGAAATGGTACAGAATCACAAAGTACAAGGGAGGGAGAGGGAGTTCCAATCATATACTAGTGGACTTCAAATACATAAAGAATATTTTCTGCCTTCTCAATGGGTAGGGGAGGAGATGGAGGGAGAGAAAATTTGGAACTGAAAAAAAAAATTAAAAATTTAGTTTTAAAAATTGCAGACGAAAAAATCATGTGCTAGTGGAATGTTTACACATGTTGACTAAAAAAAAAATCTTTGATCCGAGATTTTGTATATTGCATCACACACACTTTTTTTGTCTGGTCTGGGAGTAAAAAGGGTTGGAAAGGATGAGGATATGGTTCATATTCCAAGTCTTTCAATGCATTTAAAAATTGGCCAGCATTATCCAGATTATGTTCTTTCATCATTTTCAGCACTTGTATAGAAAATAGGAGCTGGTTTACATAATCCTTGACAATGGAAAGTGTAAGCCCCATGCTCAACTCAAGAATCTGAGCACTTGTCATGTGGAAAATCTTTGTACTCAAGTGTATATAGTATGTAATTTTTCTTATATTGGAATTCTCCCAACATGAGGGCCAAAGAAAGATCTTCCCTAGGAGGAAATAAACTCGAGGACAAATCAAAGTATAGGAGAGCAATTCTTGTTTTTAAAAAATTGACAAAATTCTCAACATTCAGGGGCAACCAGGTGGCACGCTAGATACAGCACTGGCCCTGTAGCCAGGAGGACCTGAGTTCAAATCCGACCTCAGACACTTGACATTTACGACCTGTGTGACCCTGGGCAAGTCACTTAACCCCACTGCCTCGCTAAAAAAAAAAAAAGGCAATATTGAGTATCTTTCATGGTCTCTTTATTGTATTGTCAATAAAACTGTCATAGTCTCTCATCTTTCCTATACTCTCTGGGACTATTAACTAGACCTTGGGGAAAGGATCACAGGTACTGTTCGGAACAACATGTCCACACATCACAGCACTTACTCAGTTGAAAGCCACTTTCAGAATACAGTCCACCACACGATTTTGTTCAGCAAACAATTATCATGCACCTACTTTGGGCAAGGAACTTTGAGACAAAAGTGCTCTAACATAGTATGCAGCCTACTGGGAAGATACAAGAGCACTGCACGGTGAGTCTAAGTGCTAGACGACCCGCGTTCAAATTCTACCTAAAAACAACAGCAGCAGCATGACGGTCTGGGAAGTAGTTTAGTCTCTCTGGACCTATTTATTACCTGTAAAATAAAACTCACCTACCTCACAGGCTTACCTGAAAACATCAAATGAGTTGTCCTAAGCATAGTGTCTGAAAACCTTAAATAAGCGCTGAATTGCTCTTTATTACTTTTCACTGAGAACAAACACACAACCTTAAAATGCTTGTTTTTCTTTTTAATTATCATTCCACTGAGAGCACACAAACACACAACCTTAAGTGCTAAAAAAATTTATTATTGTCATCCCGCTGAGAATACACAAACACACGCTCCGCCGACAGTTCGGGGGGTAAGAGCCATGATTTCCTCTCATCCCTCCATCCAAAGAATGCATTGAAAAGCGGCTTTCAAGAGAGCCAACGGGGGAAAGGGGGAGTGTTGGGGAAAGGTGTAAGGCGTGTTAATTTCAATCGGCCGGCCGCAGTGTCAATTACACGGTGTATGGGGGGGGGAAGGTGTTGTAAAGGAAGCGTGTCAATTTCAAAGGACAGGCAACGAGAGAAGGGGATGTGAGGGAGAGAAAGTGGAAGGGGAGAAAGCCCCCAGCAACGAAGGGAAGGCGCAGGGACGGGTGGCAGGCCACAAAGGATGGGGAAATCTGAGTTAGAAGAAACGTGGCGGCAGGGGGCAAAAGACAAAGGAATAAAAGGACTTCTCGGGGGGCTCTCGCCAGAGACCGAGGAAGATAAAGGGTGGGTGAAGAAAGCAGGCCATCTACGCGCAACGGGCGGCTCCGCTCCACCTGTGCTCACCTTGCTGCGGTCGTCTTCCTGCTTCAGCAGCTCGGGAACGGAGGCCATAGTGAAGAGGGTTGCTAATGGAGAAGAGAAGCTGCGACTGCGACTCCTCTCCCCCCGCCCCCTCTAAAGTACCTACTCTTCGTCGGGCCGTGGCTCCGCCCCTGCCTCTCCACGCCGCCGGACTCCTCCACCATCCCAGCAACGCCCTAGCGAACCGCACGTGGCAGCTTACAAGGCCAGGCCCTATTCTGGACTCGCCGCCCGCCCACCATTTTGAAGCCGGACAGAGGAACTCGTGCTGAATCTACTCCCCTTCCTTGCACACCCTGTTGTAGGCGCTGATCTCGAGTTTGGGGAAAGAAGGAAGGAAAAAGAGAAGAGAGAATGCTATCCGCCTCACCACTGGGAGAAGTCTGCCCTTCTGCAGGACGAGCCGCTACGCAGAATTCACCGTTCATGACGGAGCCCTAACTCAAGATGGCGGCTTGGAGGCTACGCTAGAAAGGAAAAGGAATCGAGAGCCGAGGCTGACCACGTGACCACTCTCCCGCGCCTGGCTCCGAGTCTCAGTTTTAAGGAGCCACTGCTCATAAAGGCGAAAGTGGGTGAGGAGCTGAGCGGGGAATGGCAGCCGCAGTGCATGACGGATGCCATCGCTCCGTCCTTCCAACCTTCGGCTAGGTCTGGTATGTGGGACATGATAAAACTACGGGTTGCGAAAAGTCTCGCGGGAGCCGCCGCCCGCTACATCATGGCGCCGCAAGGAGCTGTCAAAAGGCTGCGGCCCGCGAAAAGTACCAACAGGGCCCCCGTCCAGCCTCCAGCTGCTGCGAGGGCTTTAAACTGACTGCACTGTTAGAGCGCACGCTGTGACTCCATTTCCTCCCAGTCAGCCTCAGCCCGGGCTCCTTTCCCTGTCTTAAGGTTCTACGTCCTCCCACAGCTACGCGCGCGCGCGCGAGTACGCGCACGTTCTCCTGCGGAGGCGCGTGCTCATCCGTTGGGCGCCAAATTCTTTCTTCCCGCTGCCCGGGCTGTGTAAAATGCTATTTCTTATTATTTTATAATCATTCACGTCGTCCGAAGAAGGTCACCCGCGTACCGTCCTCGGCAGCTTTGTCCTCTCCCAGGATTGGGGCCCGTATTTGTAGCTGTGGCCGTAGCGGTGAGAGACGATTAACCCCCTCCCAGGTGTGTTTAATAATAACAGCGACTTTCCATCTCCCGCCTTCATGCCTTTGCCCTGCGGTTTCCCAAAGTCTAGACTGCCCTTCCTTCCGCCTCTCTCGGGACACAGCACCCTGCAAAGAACGACTCAGGTGCCGTCTCCTATAGGAGACCTTTTCTGACACTTCCCCCACCCCAGTTCTTAGCGTGCTCTCCCTCTTGAAATTACTTTGTAGAAACTTTGTATTTGCTTTACTTGTGTATGCGTTGTATTCTCTGAGTAGAATGTAAAACTGCCGTTTGAGAACAAAGACTTTCCTTTTTGTCTCTATTCTCATTGCTTTGCACAGTCCTATTAATTGCTTTTTATGATAATGAATACCTTTTATATAACATTTTAAGGTTTGCACAACGCGTTACAAATATCTCTTTATCCTCACAACAGCCGTGGGAAGTAGGTGCTATTATTATCCCAAAATAGGCAGATTTTAAGTGATTTGCCCAGGGTAAAATAGCTAGGGCCTGAGGCTGGATTTTAATTAATTTGAACTCGGGTATTTCTGATTCCCAGGTCCACATGGCTGATGCACCTGTCTGCCTCCTAACTTATGTAACTGACATATAGTGCTTTAACATTTTCAGAGTATGCATATACAGTAGATGATGTGGTTTGAGCCTCACTAGCTACTTACAGACACTGTCATCCTCAATTTACAAATAAACTGAGCCTCAGAGAAATGGTCACAGTGCTAGTGTCAGAAGTGGAATTTAAAACTCTATTCCAAGGCCATTGTGCCTAGTACATGGTAAGCACCAATTGTTTGCTCTTGTGATTTTTATTGTTATGATTCCAAACAGACTTTCTGGTTAACTCTTTCACAGATCATTGCTTTGCAACTCAACAAAACATCAAGTACTTGCTATGCACAAACTGGGTTTCTTTCTTTTCCTCATAAATGATACTCTTATCTCCTTTCTCCATGTCTTTGCACTGGCTGTTTCCCATGCCTAGAATGAATTCCCTTCTCACCCATGCCCCTTGTTTTCACCAGAACTCTGCTCGGTCACCACCTTATACATGAAATCTTTCCTTATTCCCGAAGCTCTTCATTCCCTCTCACTACCCTGACAAAAAAATATATATATATGTTTTAGTAATTTCATACATACTTACAAGTTGTCTCTCCCATTAAAAGTAAGTTCCTCAAAAAGGCCAGGAACTGGGTTTTGTTTGTTTGAGGGAAGGGAGGAAGTCATCTTTGTAGCCTCAGGTCAGTATAGCTCTCAACAGAGTAGGCACTTAACTTACCTTGCTGGGGCACCAGATAAAAGTAGTAAAGTTGGAAGACAGTTTAGAGCTCCTCTAAACCAGCTTTCTCATTTTACAGTTAGTGCCACTTTGTCTTAAACTCTCTTCAAATGTTTTTGTTTCCTCATATATAAAACGAAGAAGATAGATCGTGTAATCCATGATCCAGCTTTTCCAGCTTTGAAATTTTGCAGTTCTGTGAGTATTGGAAAATTCATGTCATGTACCCTAAGAACCAAGCAACGCTATCTGCTGATTCTGAAATTTGCCCAGTGATCACAGCGCACTCTCCAAGTGTCTGTATTTTTGCATCATTTGCAGAGAGGCAAGATCAACTTGATGATCCACATAAATGGTTCATTGCCCTGCAAAGCACAAATTTTGCTAAGTAGGAGCGCTAGCATGGAAAATTACTAGGAAAATATTAAACTGCTTTGTTGAATCTTACTTCAGTTTCTATTTCTATTGGTCAAAATACTGATCACTAACATTACCTTTTGTCTTTCATAGGACACCCCGAAAAAACCCATTGACATTCTAAGTAAAAGAGAGAGAACTTTGGAACAAATTGTACTCCATATAAAATTAGAGACTAAAAAATGCAGTCACTCTCAAGCATATGCAAGAAGCTGGGAAGATCAAGTAGGTTCTTTGTAGAACTAGCTCCTTCTGTGGGTTTCTCTACTTCATGTTACTTTTGTAGCCAGAAGAAGAAAAAAAGCCCTTATCAAGAAGTTGACCAAAACAAATACTCCAATTTAATACGTTCTATTGTATCAACTAAAATTAGTTCTCAGACACCAGAATCATTGTTTCAAGAAGATGATTTATTATATGGACCTGTGAGTAAATGTAAGGTCCAAGAGCAAGAATCAGGACCAATAGTTACACAAAATACAGTTCTTCTCCTCAATCCAGAAAAAAGAAATGGATCAAACACTCTAACTGATTCCTCAGTTCCTTTGAAAATACCATTGCAGAAGAATAAAATGCCTAGTGTTACTCGAATCCTTCAGCAAACCATGACAGCAAAACAAATCTTAACTCTGGAGAGGTGGAAACAGCGAATGATTCTGGAGCTGGGAGAGGATGGCTTTGCAGAATATACTTCAGGTAATTCTACTCTATTTCTGTACTAGTTATATTTTCTAGAATATATAGTGCTATATACATGGAATATAAGGATTTTTTCTCTATGATGGTAAGAAGGAAACCATTTTTTAAATGTTGCTTAAAATCCACAGCAAATTTCCATATTAGAATTACATGTTTTCCATGATTAGGGATAAGAGCTGGACATGTGATTTCATTTTTACAATGAAACTACCAGTTAAGGAAAACTCCTATTAATGCAGTTTGGCACCTTCTTCTCCACATGTAATCTTAAAACAAAGATATCAAACACCCAGCCCACAATGCTCCCAAGTACTGCCCAAACCAGGTTAAAATGTCTCTATCTGATTTTAATGTCTTGATGTAGTAATAAAAAAGAAATATATGAACATATGTGGTTTTCCAAGTCAATGTGCAGCCCACAGGATTCCTTATGTGGCCTCATTTCTATTTGAATCTGACACCATTGTCTTAGAGAGTTGTTTCTAGCACGTGGAGGTTAATTGACATCCCAAGATCTGCTACGGTCAGAGGCAGAACCCAGTGCTTCCTGGCTAGGAGGCCAGCTTTCTATCCATTGTGCCATGGTGCCTTCCCATGATTAAAAGAAATTTTTTAAGCTGTTCACATTGCACAATATGCAAGATAATAGGAAATAAACCCTTTTAAATTCTAACTAAATTGACTATAATATCATTGAAAACACTGTCAGTAAACCATAACACATGGTCTGAATTCGCATCTTGGTAAAACCATGCTAACCTTTCAAATTTAACATCTTATTGAAAATAGATAAACTAATTTACAGTATTACTGTCTCAGCTCTTAGGGTATACTTTGAATGCTAAGTATCAGCCTTAGCAGGATTTTGAAGGCAAAAGTATCTTTCAGCAACAGAAATTCTGTTTGGATAAGTGAATACCCCAGCAAATAATAACAATGGAAGCAGAGAGAAAACTGATTATCAGACTACTAGGGAGGCAACTGTAAAAGGAATCAAGAATCATTGAAGTCATCCAGATTTAGAGGTAGAGGGAACCTAGAGAGTCACAAATCCAACCTTCTCATTTAACAGTTTAGGAAATGAAGGGGAGAATTTAAGTATCTTGCCTGAGGTCACTTGAGTGAGTAGGGGCAGGATTTGCACACAAGTTCTCTGCATTGTTATTTATACTCTTCCATGCTAGCTTTCTAAGCAGGTATGACCCTTTTTTTTCCCCTCTTTTATTCTGAAGAGTACACATTGCTACTGCCCTCTCTGGATGTGAGAGTCCTGGGATGAACAGTTTTAAAAATGAGAAATACCCAAATTATATTTACATTTAACCTAAGTTGCTTAAATTTATATCTGCTCTAGGATCCACCAAATCTGTCTTCATAATTATAAATGAAATTTCCTTGCCCTAGTCCATGCAACTGTACCACTTATCTTAGCTTCTACTTATACTGCTCTAAGACACTGACCATCATTCTTATTTGTTGGATTTGATAAGATAAACATTTATTAAGCACTTATTACAGGAATGATCTTTTAAGCGATCTTCATCCTTCTCCAACTGACTCCTCTATCTCCTTGGGACTTTCTCTACATGTCACGACAATTTCTTCACCCTGAAAGCTCTCTCTACCCTTGGAGTACTTCTCATACTGGAAGTACTCTTTGCCCATTAGGCCTCACCTTCTGATTAGCTGGTTCCTCCCAGAGGGAGGCTTAGGCCTCCTTAAAATGAACCCTTATCAAGAAGTCAACCTGGACAAATACACTAAGTTAATTCATTCTATTGTATCAACCAGAATTAGTTCTCAGACACCAGAATCACTGTTGTAAGAAGATGATTTATTTTATGGACCTGTGATTAAATGTAAGATCCAAGAGCAAGAATCAGGACCAAAGGTTGCACAAAAATACAATTCTTCTCAGTCCAGAAAAAAGAAATGTATCAAACCTACTCTAACAGAGTCTAACTGATTCCTCAGTTCCTTTGAAAATACCTTTGCAAAAGAATAAAATGCTTAGTGTTGCTCGAATCCTTCAGCAGACCATGACAGCAAAACAATATCTTAATCCTTCTCCAGGCTGCCTGCACAGTGCATGGAATGTAATAAGTGCTCAATAAATGACTGTCATCTTCTGCTTGGAGACCTCCAGTAATGGGGAACTTTTCTCTGAGGCATCCTGTTCCACTTTTGGACAGTTTTGACTGTTAAGAATTATAACTAGTAGAAATCTCTATAACTTTGACCTAGCTCTCTGGGAATAAGCAGAATGTATCCAATCCCTCTCCCACATTATTCTCTAAATAGAAGAAAACTGTAAGAGGGAGGGGGAGAAAATTTAAAACCCAAAATCTTATGGAAGTGAATGTTAAAAACTAAAAATTATTTTTAAAAAAAATCCAAAAAAATTTTTTTACAAAAGGAAACTATAGTGCTCCCTATCCCAAATTCAATTTAGTTTTGCAGACATTTGTTAAGCAGCTACTTTATGCTAGCACTGGAGATGCAAAGACAAAAATGTTCCTGCCCACAATAAATTTACATTCTTTGGGGGAAATACAATAAGAACACAAACAAGTAAATGAAAGCCATTTTGAGCGTGAGTCTAATACCAGAAAATGTGGGGATAAGCAGAGACTTTCCGGAGTTCACATCCGAGATAAGCCTTGAAAAAGATGTTTAGTCAGTTAAGAGTATTAAGTATACGTTATACGCCTGGCACTTCGCTAAAGCCTTGGGGATACAACGAAAGGTAAAGCACTAACTCTGCCCTCACTGGAGCTCACAATCTAATGGATTTAGAAAGGTGAAGTGAATTCCTCTTCCTTTCTCCCTTCCTTCCCCCCCCCCCTCCCAGCCTCCTCCCAAACTCCTCCTTAGAACCATAGAGACAGCCTGAGGTGGGAGATGAAATGTTATATTCAGGGAAGAATTAACAGTCCAATGTAACTGAATGTAGGATCACAGACTTAGAACCATCTAATACAATCTTCTCATACAGATGAAAAAACTAGCACAAAAAGACTTAGCGTGCCCAGGGTCATAAAGCTTGCAAGAGATTTATGTGGTATTTGAACACAGGTTATCTGACTCCAAATTCTAGAGTCTTTGTCCTGTACCATGCAGGGGAATAACAAGAAATTAAGCCCTGTCCTGGGACCTTCTGTCTGTACACACTCTCTTGATCACATCTGCTGTCATGAGTTTAGTCTACCTGTGTGCGTTTTGACTCCTCAAGCTATATATCCAGTCCTGTTCTCTCTTATAAATTCCAGTCATGCATAACCAACTGCTTGCTGGACATCTTACATATAAATACCACAGGTATTTCAAACACATGGCCAAAATTGAACTAATTTCCTAAAATATTCTCATCCCAAACTTCTGTGTTTCCGCTGTGGGCACAAATTCTTTTTGTCATGCAGGGTCCTGACCCCAAAATTACTCTTGAAATGTCTCCTCTCCCTCATCTCTCATATTCAAACAATTCCTAAGTTCTTTTATTTCTATCTTCACAAGATCTCTCAAGATCCCCCTGCTTCATTATCCCCTGTCACCTAGACATTTGCGTAATTGATCTCCCTACTTTGAGTCTGTCCCCTCTCCAATCCATCCTCCACAGAGCAGTCAGTCCTAACAAACTGACCTGTCATGCCTCTACTCAAAAATCTCAAGTGGTTCCCCAGGATAAAATACAAAATTCTCAGCCTGGTAGGTTCTACCTACCTCTCCAGTCCAGTAATATTTTACATTAACTACACTTTACAAAATCTGTTCCAGGAGAACTGACCCTCCTTAGCTGTATACAATTCCATCTCCCGTTTCCTTTGAACACATGGTCAGTCCCATGTCTGGAATGCAGTCCCTCCTCAGTGCTACCTCTTACAATCCATACCTTCCTTCATCTGTTAAATGGCAGTAATAACAGCACCTGTCTCCGAGGTGGTGAGGATTAAATGAGACACTATACTTAAATTGATTAGTCACCTTTAAGCACTATATAAATATTAGCTATTAAGGAGAAGACAAGACTAACAACTTCAGGATGGAGGAAAGGCTGTGCTAAAAGTCTGAGAGGTAGAGGTAAAGAGACACTATGTGCTGAGTGAGGGCTATTTACATTCCATTGATCCAGCCAGGCTTTCACTGTCCCCCCTAAAACGTGGTACCTAGAACAAAACACAAATCTGGTGCCTCTTATTAGGTCCTGGGCTAGTTTCTGTTTTCCTGGGATCAGCCCCAGAATTGAACAAAAAAAGTAGTGTTCTTTTTTTTATGAACACAGAGGCATACCAAGAATGCTCTTTCTTCAACCCTTCCATGCCTAGAACCCAGAACAAACAGAGGTATGTTTAGAGCTGGTATACTTTTTAAGCTTGAACAATTCCCTAAGTACTTACCAGTTTGCCATTCAGTGTCTGAAAAGGAGAAGCTACGGTAATGAGTGCAGATTTCTCCTAAGAATTAGTTTTGATTATTTTAAAAACTTGAAGCTACTGTCAAGGCCCTAAATACGTTTTAAAAGTTTTCGGGGGGGGCAGCTAGGTGTCGCAGTGGATAGAGCACCAACCCTGAAGTCAGGAGGACCTGAGTTCAAATCCAGCCTCAGACCAAACACTTGACACTTAGTAGCTGTGTGACCCTGGGCAAGTCACTTAACCCCAATTGCCTTTAAAGAAAGAAAGAAAGTTTTCCTAGTACCATGATCTCCATATTTGTAAAATGGGGTTTATCTATGGCTCTCATTAGCATAATTTATTAATGTTTATGAAGGGGCAGCTTGGTGGTACAGTGGATACAATGCCAGGCCTGAAGTCAGGAAAACTCATCTTCCTGACTTCAAATCTGGCCTCAGACACTTACTAGCTGTGTGACACTGAGCAAGTAACTTAACCCTGTTTGCCTCGATTCCTCATCTGTAAAATGAGCTGGAGAAGGAAATGGCAGAATACGCCAGTATCTTTCCAGGAAAACACCAAATGGGATCATGAAGAGTTGGTCATGACTGAAATGACTTAACAGTAATAGCAGTTTTAATGACATTTATGTTAATAGTAAGAAACAGTTCATAATGTGCTTCAAATAATTGTATAAATTGAAATTATTGTAAATAAATAATTTTGCACATGCCAGGAAATTCTATTTCAAAAAATCCTATCATGAATCTTTTTGCAAATATTTTTACTACATCTAGATTTTCATATTTATCTTCTTTAAAGTGAGATATGAAAGAGGAATAGAGGATAAAGATGACTTTGATTGAGAGGACCTGGGTTCAAGTCCCACCTTTGATACATACTGGCAATCTGACCCTAGGTGAGTCCTTTATTTAACCAATGCTCTAGGCAAGTTGCCAAGAAAGTACTGACTTGCATTGGTTGAGAGAGTTTCTTCCCGAGGAATTCGCTATTCAAGTGAATTAACAAGTCCAGTCCCTTTTCCTTAAGCATTTGCAACATGTTTAAATTGTCAATCATATATTTCACATAAGGGAGCTAGTCTTTGTAATTTCACATGCTAACAGGTCATGGAAATGGTTGGCCAGTGTTGAAGAATGTGCATTTGTCTATAGAGCAAAAGCTAATTAGCCACATTTACATATATCATTGTGGGAACAAAAATGCAAGGTACCTTTAAATATATTTATAGGTTCAGAATTTGAAAATACTGTATGGTGATTATGATGTTCCTTGAAAATAAATTATTTTCTTATTACATTTCTCTATATCTGTCTTTATGTAAATGGAGATTTCTCTGTGTCTCTTTTTCTTTCTTATTATATTCCATCTTATTATATATAACTTTTTGCCTCTCTGAGTCTTCATCTGTATTTGTGTCTCTCTTTTTTCCTTTTGAAGTTTCTTTTTCTTCATCCTTTTCTCTTATTCCTGTCTTAACCAAAATATTTTTTAATTTGTTGTTTTTATTCATACTTTTATGTTCACTATTTTTAACTTTAAAATAGATGAGTGAGATGATTTATATTCTCTCAAAAAAAAATTAAACTCGGTTACTTTTAACTTGTATGACTTTTTATTTTCCCACCAATGGATGATATTGATGGAAAAAAGGCTTCCCACTCCCTTATTAAGCTTGCACGTTTATCCTTTATTTGAATTGCAAACAGAAGCAAAATTCATTGGTTTTCTTATTTTTCTTCCTGTTTTAGCAACCTTCATTTTATTTTTCCTTTGTATATGTAAATTCATATTATTATAAAGTGTCAGGTGATTCTGTGGCTTTCATCTCTTTCAAAAGTTGTTTGCTACTAGCAGAGGCCTAGTTAGTTCACATTAGAGTGTTCTCATGGAATACTTATTTAAATTCTTTTCATTATCTTAAAACATTTCTGAATGATTACAATTTTGAAAATATTCTTAATCCTCTCTGTTCAGGAACTATTTTAAAAAAATATTTCTGTAATAATTGTGGTTTTTAAATTGTTTTAATAAGGTGTACTTGTTTTAATTAGGGATTTTTCTTAGTACCAATTTTGAGGTTTTATTTTTTCTGCTTTTTTTTTCTCTTAGATATCTTTTTGCAAGGAAAACACTTCCATGAAGCATTAGAAGCCATACTTTCATCCCAAGAGCAATTAAAGGAATTAGACGAAAAAACTATTAGCTCTGGCTACGTAGCAAGTGTCCAACATGTCTTAAAAGATATAAGTGGAGTAAGAGCTCTAGAAAGTGCAGTTCATCATGAGACCCTTAAGTATCTGGGCCTAATGGACTGTGTAGCTGAATATCGGTAAGTGCTACATTATAGATATCCCTAGCAGCTGGAGAAAAATTAAGTGATATGGATAGCATCATCTTTGCCAGATACTGCCTTCTACTTTGTTCATTGTTCCCAGGCTTGTCTCTACCACACCTGAAAACACTGCTTATTTAAGGTAGGAATGAGTGTAATCCGTAACAGGGACGTTAGCCTGTGTTGACCTCCCTTCGTTCAAAACCAAAAAAAAAAATTTTAATCAAGGTAATACCTAGGTGCCTAAAGAATAACCCCTTCCTTAGCCCTTTCCTCCTGTCTACCAAGCACAATACCATATCTGAGGTAGTCTGCTGTTCCCAATAGAACCCCAGACATAGAAAGAACTAATTTTGACTTTGTCCCCCACACCTGTTAGCTGTGTGACTGGGAAAATCACATAATCTTTCTAAACCTCACTTTCCTTTCTGCAAAATGGGAAAAACAGTAGCACCTAATCCAGCCTTGTTGTTAGGGTGAAATGAGATAATGTGGGTAAAGTGCTTCACAAACTTGAACACACTGTGTTCTTGTTAGTTATTACTCTTATTATCATCATCAACTGATTAAAGCTCTTGTTCTGAGACTTTAAAATGCAAATGGCTGGTTCTGCCTAGCACAGACAGCAACACTTATTTCCTTGTGTCTTCCTTTCCTGTTTTCCCAAGGGTAATAATGTGATTTATTGACTGTAAGAGTCAAGTCTGTTCTTGGTTCTTCCTCATTTTGTGACTTAAACAAAAACCCTGGGCATTATAAAAATTTCCTCTGCCAAATTTTTCTCTACCTCCAAATTCCAGAGATAACTCATCAGAGGTCCTCTTCTGTGACCTGACAAAACTGCAGTCACTCTTTTTTCTAGTAAAAGGTATGACTGAAGAGCAGTGGACAAGAGACAAAGTAACACATGCTGGGGTCTAACCTGATGACAGTGAATCTTAGCATACAGTTTAGCGCCTTCTACAAAAGATTTGAGACGGGATGTCGTGAATTGGGTTGTTCAGCAGCTTAATGACTAAAAGAAGGAAGATATTAGCTCCTGGTCTTTCTCTAGATTGCTGGTTTAAACCACTTAACAGGTATGTGCTTCAGTTGCTTCATCTGCAAAATAATAACCATTGTTCATTCATTTCAATCAAGTTTGACACTTTATGACCCCATTTGAGGTTTTCTTGGCAAAGATACTGGTGTGGTTTGCCATTTCCTTCTCTAGCTCATTTTACAAATGAGGAACTGAGGCAAACAGGATTAAGTGACTAGCCCAAGATCACACTGAGCTAATAGGTATCTGAGGCCAGATTTGAAGTCAGGAAGATGAGTGTTCCTGACTCCAGACCCAGTACTCTATCTGCTTCACTACCTAGCTGCCCATGCATTGTTAATTATTTCAGTGGGATATTAAGTGGTTTAATTAAAAGCAAAAAAGCTATGTAAATTATTACACACTCAAAGCTAAAATCTTATAAATTTTTAATATATTCATACACTGTGGGTGTATTTTTAAATTTTTTTTTACTGTGTTGTGATCATTGTGAATAGGGAAGTAGAGCAATTTTTATGGGGTAAGATAATATATTTTAATGTCATGGCAAAGTTATTTTCTGAAAAGTGCTTTATAAATCTCTACAATCTAAATACTGTTACAACATATACCTGTATTGACAACAAAAATCCCTTTATGGTAGCAGTCAACAGTCTTTTAAAGGTGGCATGCTCTATTTTTATTCATTCGCTTCCTCCCTCCCATCTTGAGAAATCATTGCAGTAGGAGATAGAACTTTGAGGACCCTTCCAAGAGAAAACTCTCCTAAACCTCATGATTACATGGTTGGAGGAAAGAAGAGTACAGTGAGGTGCCTCAGTCCAAAAATAACTCTCATTTCAGTAACCCTTTAAAGTTTACAAAGAGCTTTCCTCACAAACCTGTGAGGTAAGTAGTGCATGTATTATTATGCACAATCTGTAGATGATGGAGTTGAGGCTCAGAGGAGTTAAATGATTTACTCCAGATCACAGCTGGCAGAGCTGCTGTATCAGCTAATGTTCTTTCCAGATAGCATGCTGTATCAATGTACATACCTATATTTTTCTCTAAAATTCTGGCCACTATGCCTAAGACCACCCTTAGGGAAGGAAGTAAAGTGCCCAAAATTAAGCCCAACCTCTAGCATGCTCCCATTAAAATTTCTTTTTTTTTTTTCCATTTTGCTCTTCAAGCAGTCCCTTTAGAAATACAAATAACCTTAGAAATAGAATATCTTAGCTTTTTAAACCTTGGTTAAAAAATAAGGAATAGAGAAGATAAAGAAAACTAGACATTTTCTCTGACGCTTGTGACCTCTCAAACCTCTCTAAAATAGAACATAAGTGCGAGGGGTAAAGTGATTTCATCTGTCTCCATGGTCCAGGACACCAAGGACCTTAGTAAGGTAAAAACCTGATGAACTAAAAGCAGAGAAGACTAATCCATAACCCTTAATGCACTCACTCAGCACTTCTTCCTCCACTGCCCACCTTATCAGACAGAGCTATACAAGCTCATAGGCTTGCAAGAGCACACACTCTATCCTCCTTTCAGTGCTGTGGAAAAGCAAAAGGCTTCAAAAGCTTGCTCTGGTTGGGACAGCAGCCTGGCAGCTCAAGCAGAGAACTGAAGAACAAAGAGAATGTGAGGCACTCCACTAAGCCTGAGGGAAGGCCCAGCATCCAGCTGGGACCAGTTCTATCCCCTCAGAAGTCACTTAGGACAGACTGAGGCAGATGAAATGTAAACTGCCCAAAATGGGAGGAGGCTGAGATGGCTTTGAGATCCAGTTCTTAGGTAAACCACTATCAAAGGGAAAGGAGTCAAAAAATGGGTGTGCGAGAAGGCAAAATAAACAATTAAAAAACACTGAAATTGCCAAAGATCAGGAGGAAGAAAACTCAGTTTAAACACTTTGAGCGTAAGCAAGTAAACCAACAGGGAGACAGTAATAACAGAAAGTAAAATGGCCTCCAGATCAGGGGAAAGAGTACAGGCATCTGTAAATAAATGTTTCTAGACAAAGGAAAATGAATCAATACCTGATGAAGCAAAGGAACCTACAGATCAACAAAAGAGCATGGGACCACAGCAGGATGTTCCTGAATGGCTTCAAAGGGACATAAGAATCATGAAAGCAGAATTTAGGGCTTATACACAGCAGAAATAATTAGCAGAACAGAAAAACGTTAATCCATGGTGATGAGTCTCACCAAAGAAACAGAGAGGATAACTGATTGGGAATGTAAGTGCACAGAAGAAGAAGAGAAGCAAAAAAGCATTAAAGTTAAAGGAAAACATGCTCTTTCTACAAACAAAAGATATTGATCTATAAGATCAATGGAGATGACTTAGGACCCAGGTCCAAACAGGGGCAAAGCAAGAGAATCCTATCTCAGCTTCAGGAAAGAGATTCCTGCAATCCCCCTCTGATTAGCCGTTCAATTCTTCAGACTGAGGTCTGTGGGCCAAGAGCTCTGGAAACAGCCGCCACCCTAGGGCCATGCTGGGACCGGGGCTGGGACTGACCTCTCCATGGTCACAGACCTTTCCTACTGATCTTCTTAGTTAATTTTGGCATTCGGGAGTTGAGAAGGCTGGAAACCACAACAGCTGCCCATGATTCAGTCTCCTGAGGCCTACTCCAGATTTTTCAGAAGTAAAATATTGACGTAATGATTGTATATGACAGAAGTATTTATTTAAGTCCTTTAGTATACTATGAAAAGTTATAAAATACTTTGGGAATCTGCTCCTCACTATATTAACACAGAAAAAGCCAATGATATCATTTGTATATATTGTGTTAAAGAAAAGACTCAATTTATACTGAAAGTGATTCTTTTCATTGGTGCTGCCCATTCATGCTCATTTTGGAATGATATGAGTCCATAAATGCTTCATCTGGAATTCTAGTCAGAATACATATATTTGATAGGTCTAATATATATCAAAATAATTTTAAAACTATTCATAAAGTAATGATGGTAGCATTCCATTGAGTTGTTCTTCATTGTCAGTGTTTCATGTGTATCTGAAAAAAAAATAAGGCATGTATTTTAGATTTGTAAGTTCCATGAAAGCAGATGCTAGATCTTTCTGTTGATGCTCTGTGTATTGATTCATCTTTAATATATGATCAAATTTGGAGGAAAAAAAATAGGGATTAGGGATTATGGGTCTCCCAGAAGAAGCACAAGTCGAAAAACCTGAACACAGTAATGCAAGAAATAATACAAGAAGGTTGTCCAGAACTTCTGAACACAGAAAACAAAGTGCCAATTGAAAGAATCCACAGGTTGCCTCAAAAAACACCTGTGCAGCAAGCTCTAACTCACATAATGGTTAAACTTAACAATTCCAATACAAGCAAAAATTCTTCAAGCAAGCAGGAGAAAGGCCTTCAAAAGGAAATTGGAATAACATAAGACTATTCCTTACCCATCAGAAGCCATGGGAGAAAATGGAGTAAGAGTTTTTAAGAATTTTAGTTCATAAGAACTGGAAACAAAGGAGATACCTGGCCAACATTATGGTACACAAATATAGTGAACTATTACTGCACCATAAGAAACAATGATGAGGAATCTAGAGATACATGGGAAAACTTATACGAATTAATGAAGAGCAAAGGAAGCAGAACCAGGAAAACAGTATACACAAAGCCTACAACAATATAAATAGAAAGAATAGAAGAAGAAGAAAAAGAACTAAATGCTAAGTGAACTAAATTAAAATGATCAAGCTTGACCTAGAAAAGGAGAGGAGAAATGCATTGCCTTCTCTTCTTTGCAGAGCTTAGGGAAGATGGGAATGGGACAATGTATATATGTTGTCAGACACACATGTTAGTTTGGATGAACTACTTTTTCCCTCTCTTTGAGTTTTTGTCAAAAGGGATGGCTCTCCATGTAATGGAGTAAAGGAGGAATATGTTTGGAAATGATGATGTAAAAAGAAAAGATGTCAATAAAAAAAATTTAAAAGACCCTAGTGCAGTACAAGTATGCAAGATATTTTGAATTTTGGGAGACTCTACCTTTTTTTAATTTATTTTTTATTTTGAACTTAACAAATACCAAATAAAATAGGCATTTCCATATATGTAGTTGAAGAGAAAAAGAGGACTGTACCAGAAACTGTAAATCTCGATTATGTACAACTTCTTTTCTTTTTAAATATATAATAAATTCAGCATGTAACCTCCAAGGCTGTCCTGCTTGTCAGTGATTTTTTCTGACCTTTTATTCTTTTCTGTTCATTTTTTTAAAAATGCATCAATGACTCTGTTTTCTTTCTATTCTTTTTCTAGACAATTGTTTTTCTGTACACAATGACTAAAACAACATGAATAGAAAGAACCAAAAAACAGTCAAAATAAATACTTTGTGATTAGAGTGACCAAGCTTGACCCAGAAGAAGAGAACTGAGAATGTACCTCCCTTCCTTCTTTGCAGAGGTTGGGGGTATATACTGTCTCATATAGTTGGACTATTTACTTTTGCAGAATTGCCTTTTTTTTCTTCACTTTTCCATGTTTATTCTTTTGAGTTTGAAAAAAAATTTATAAACATTTGTTCTCGCTCCCTTTACTTCACCCCATTTGGAAAAATCATAATAAAATGAAGAATAAAACCATCATAACAAGTATGCATTGTCCAGCAAGACAAAGTCTCACGGTGGTAATGTTTTTCACATCAAAGAATTGACTGCACATAGTGCTCAGTAATAATAGCATTTATATAGCTAGAAAGGTTGCAGAGTACTTTACCAAAATCTCATTTTATCCTCAAAACAACCCTAGGAATTAGGTGCTATTATTATTCCCATTTTACAGATGAGGAAACTAAGGCACAGAGAAGTCAAGTGACTTGCCCAGGGTCACAAAGCTAGGAAATGTCTGAGGAAGGATTTACACACAGGTCTTCCAGACTCTAGGCACAGCACTCCATCCACTGCATCCCCAGCTGTGTGAGTAAATTTCATTGATAATGATGGACTTTTTCTCTTTTTGGTTTCAGACAAGAAGTACTTCTTTGGCGCAGTGGATAGAGCTCTGGCCATGGAGGCAGGAGGACCTGAGTTCAAATCCAGTCTCAGACATATGGCACTTACTAGCTGTATGACCCTGGGCAAGTCATTTACCCCCAATTGCCTCACCAAAAAGCAAAAAAAAAAAAAGTACTTCTGTCATCATTTTTAGTTTGTAATGATAGAAGTCATGGTTTTTAATTATTCATTCTAATGGACACCTGAAGTAGAAGATAATAACTGACCTATGGTTGGTACTTTAATCTTTATCAAGTACTTTACATACCTTATCTCATTTGATCTTAACTACAACCCTTTGAGGCAGATACTCCAGGTATCATTATCCCCATTTTACAGATGACAAAACTAAAGGCTAGAATATGACGTACTCACCAGTCACATAGCTATTAAGTACACAGATAATGTGTTAAGTTGGATCAGTGCTGTCCTTTTTCTCTCACCCTTTTGTGTGAAAATGAGGCCACACAAAAGAAGTCTTAAGGAAAGAGTGTAGAAGCCAGAATTAAGAGAACGAGGACTTAAAGGAGCAGATGCTGTTACTGTAGCTCAGCTAGTACTCACATGTGCCCCCCTGCCTGAGGTACTCGCCATTGCACCACAGGAAGTAAATTACATTGTATGCCCTGAAAGGCAGCAGCTAATGATTACTTTGAATTAGCGTGTCAATGAAAGGTTAAAGGCTTCTCACTGGGAAAAAGGAGCTAACAAAGTTATTAGCAGTGGTGTCTTTCTTCTCCTAAAAGGATTAAAAACCCAAGGGGGGAGAAGTCTTTTAAAATGGAATGCCTCTTACTGTGAAGAATTGAGACAGACTGCTAAAATATCATGAGTAATATATAGCAAAGGGCCTCCACTCCAATATTGTTCTTGCTTCACAGCCTAACCTGAAAGTCGGGCTTCTTCATTGCTTTCATCATAGGGGTAAGCTGTGTGTGATCGATTGGAAGACATCAGAAAAACCAAAACCATTTATCCAGAACACATTTGACAACCCTTTACAAGTGGTAGCGTATGTCGGAGCCATTAACCACGATGCCAGCTATAGCTTTGAGGTCAGTCTTTTGACCTGAACTGTCAAGTTTGCTTGGTATTTGTTTAAGAGCCTTGCTTCATTTGTGCTTCATTTCTTCCATCTTTGTGGTCCCTTGTGCTTCATCTCCTTCTTGCCCCTCAGGCAATCTGAACCAGTAGCCTTATCAATAATTTTCATTTCTTTCCTCTCTGGACTTTTACGTTGCATCTTCCATTCCAGTCCATCAATCATTTATTGCTTTCTGCCTGTGACACTCCAAAGCCATCCCATTGTCCTTTATGATTGATGTGTAGCTTGGTCCAGAGTCTTGTGCCGGATACACCTTGGTCAATATGAAAACACCTTGTAGACTGCTTTATTCAGAGCTTAGGTTTTCTTACCTAGAAGGTGAAAAAAATATACTGGAACTCTAGGCCTATTTTAGAACTTGCTGAAAACATTTTGTGTTCTCTTTTATCAGGTTCAATGTGGTTTAATTGTGGTGGCCTACAAAGATGGATCCCCTGCTCACACGCATTTCATGGACTCAGAGCTCTGTTCCCAGTACTGGCCCAAATGGCTGCTTCGACTAGAAAAATATACAGAAAAGGCAAAGAACCAAACTACTCCGAATCCAGACTAGGATGTAGGATACTGTTCAAGGCCAGTTTGCCCTTTCTCACAGTTTGGGGGAAAGGATGCTTTCCGTAATTTAGTGAGTCCAGGATCTCATTGATGGGAGTACTCCCTCCAACTCATTCACCCCTTTACTAACTAATAAAATCTAAAAGTGGTAATGCTTAAATGTTGGATTTCTTTTTAATGTTGATAATGGCTACCACATTATCACCAGCTAAGGTATCATTGATTTTTAGTTGTGAAAACATGGCTCTCCAGTCAGTTCACTGAAACTGAAATAAATGAAAATCTAGAAGACTTTTTCAGTTGAAGAGCTATCCATCAATACAAGAAAAAGCAGCTGTATTACTTTGTCTTGTGTTAATGTGGCAATCATTATGTCCCTGAAAAGAAAGAAAATAGATTGAATAAAGACCTTAGTTAATCTTGGACTATGTTGTAAAATGTTTTATGTCATTTTCATTTCGGGCATTAAAGGACGACTGTATTTTAATGTACCCAAAATGTAGGATCTCAAGAAGTCTTTGTTGATAGAATTTAGTGAATAAAGCCTATGCCTAAGTAACGTTTGTATTTTTCCAAACTACAAATGACCACTAATAAAACTTGTAAATTGCGGCCTGTGTGTGATCTATTACATATATGTGTGTGCATATGTATATATATATGATATATGTATAAATATATACATATGTCTGTATATAAATGTACATACTCTATATACTTCATTGTATTCACTAGCAAATCACTGGGGCAGAGCACAATCCATACATGCCTTTTCATCCTGTGTAACTCTTGTCCACCAATCAATTAATGAACATTTATCAAGTACCTGCCATATGCCAAGCATTGTGCCAAGTGCTCAGGACAAAAAGAGGCAAAAGACAGTCCCAGCCCTCAAAAAGCTTACAATCAAATGGGGTAGAAATCATGCAAACAAATATATACAAAGCAAGCCAAGTACAGGAGAAATAGGAAATAATTAACAGAGGGAAGACACTAGAATTAAGAAGGGTTGGAATAGGCTTCCTGTAATAGATAGGATTTTATGTTGGGACTTAAAATAAGCCAGGAAAGTCAGTAGGTGGAGTTGAAGGGAGCATTCCAGGCATGAGGGACAGCCAGAGAAAATGCCTGATCCAAGAGATGAGTGTCTTGTACATAGATCAATTAAAAAGCCAGTGTCACTAGTTCAATGATAATTCTTCCATAGAATTGAGAGAGGATCCACCCAATGCCTGGAGGCCTTTCTCTAAATTTTTTTTTTTTGCTTTTTGTTGAATGATATATCCTGGGAAAATTACTGAAAAGGCTAACTGGTTCAAGTACTCATTTAACAAATAATATGTACTCACTTTAAAAAAAATGTGTGTTTCAAAACAATACCAAAATGGAGTTGCTTCTGAATTATCTTATCCCGTGAGTGCATGTATCTTACATTTTGAAACGTTTCCTTTGGCAATAGGCAAGGAACTGCATTAAGGACTGCTGCTGGTGCTCTTTTAAAGGAACAATACCTTTATACTTATGGCTGAGGACTTTTGAGAAACTGCAACCATTATACCTTAATATACAAAAGCTAACAAAAAAATGTATGGTGCCTTGTTTGGGTACGGTTTATATACAGAAAAGTTTGGGTCTGCATTTTTTCTTCACTATTTTTTTGGGTCTCCTTTAGCAAGCTGTTAACTAGATTTGTATGATTTTCGTGCATCCCTCGCTCATTTCTCTTCCCAGTTTTTCCTCTGCTTCTCTTGCTTCTCAAAAACCTTTTTGAGCTCTTACATGGCTTGGGACTCATTCATATTTCTCTTGGAGGCTTTGGATGTAGGAGCTTTGACTTTGTTGTCTTCTGATTGTGTGTTTTGATCTTCTTTGTCACCAAAGAAAGATTCTAGGTCTGACTTTTTTTGTGCAGTTTGCTCATGATCCCATCCAATTACTTGAGTTATAAACTCTTTGTTAAGGTAGGGGTCTGCTTCCAGTGTGGAGAATGTATTATCCCAAGCTTCAGGGGTTTTGTGCAGCTGTTTTCAGAGATACCTCTAGGGACCTGTAAGTTTCAGTTTTTCCAAGGTAGTATGATTAAGAGCAAGGTGTTTACTCCTTTCCTGGCCTGTGCTCTGGTCTATGAGTGACCACAAGCACTCTTCTGCCTTGGTACTATGAGGAGGATTCTTCCTCACCACCACCACACAAGCTCCACTACACCAGCAACTCCTCCTCACCCAGGACTGCCACTCAGAACTGTGACCCAGATCCAAGCACAGGCAAAGCAAGAGAATCCTGCCTCAGCACCAGCAAAGAGATCCCTGCAATCCCCCTCTGATCAGCCACTCAATTATTCCCCCTAAGACTGTGGGCCAGAAGCTCTAGAAGCAGCTGCTGCCCTGGGGCTGCACACAGGGACTGGGGCTGGGACTGAGCTTCTACCTCACCACCATAGTCACAGACTTTTCCTACTGACCTTCCAAGTTGTCTTTGGTGTTTGTGGGTTGAGAAGTCTGGAAACCTCCACAGCTGCCTGTGACACAGTACTCTAAGCTCCTTGCTCCAGGTTCACTGAGGCCTGGTCTTTAACTGCATGCCCATGCTGAACTGCGTTTCTCTCTCAGCAGGTATGACAGACCTTTCTAATCAACCATCCAGGTTTTCTTGGGCTAGAGATTTGTTTCACTCTGTCTTTTTGTGGATTCTGCTGCTCTAGAATTTGTTTATAGCCATTTTTTACAAGTATTTGAAAGGGTTTGGGGGAGAGCTCAAGCCAGTCACTGCTTTTACTCTGCCTCCGGGTCTGCATTTTTTGAAGATAGTTTAGAACAGTATCTACAACTTTACAATGATAGGAGTTTTTTAAAAATCTCAGTTTATAATACTTGTAGACACCTTTTTATTTTTGTGATATAAGATTCCAAAATAAGAGCTTCAGAATGAAACTTTGGCAATGAAAAAAAAAAAAGGCTACTGGTCTCAAGGAAATCTAGATAGCAACTGTGGCCCTATGAGCTTATCCTCTTTGGGGCAAATCTAGCATTTTTGTTTATGTCAGTTTTGCAAACATTTTAATAGGTACAAAATCAGAAACCACACAGACGTTCTCTAACCTGAATGGCTCCAATGACTAAAATTGATTTGCCAATTAAAGGGAGGTTACCAAAGAAATATGAGCAAATTGTTCCATGATCCTATTAGAACCTTACTTCTTAGAGTTCTAAAACTACACCCAAAAGGAAATAAATTATGTGAGTTTCATCACAAACTCACCTTTAGACACCATCATTTAATACCAGTATATAGTCCTGTAAACTATAATCCTGACAACTCTGAAGCTTAATGGTGGCAAACTGAGTTGTTTTTTTTTTAAATATGAGAACTTCATAGAATAATAATGTCCTTGCCAAAAAAAGTCCTAAGAAAAAGATAAATTTCTATCTCTAAAGTTTTTTGAAACCCCTTTCCTATAAAATCCTATCTACAATTGTTTATATAAATAGAATTTCTATATAGCTCATTCACAGCTTTTTTGGAGTTGGCACATTTATGTCACTGATTTGGGACACAGCCACCTCTATTAAGCATAGAATGAAAAAAAAAGCATAGAATGTGAGTTTTACAAAAGCTCACGAATTGGTAATCTGTGGCACTAGGAGCTTTATTTTCCATTTTTAAACACAGACTTTTCTACAAGCCTATTGGCCAGGCCATTGTTATCATGCATGGCTTTATTTAAATCATGCTTCACATCCCATCCAGCCATCTCTCTTGCTGGTATCCCACATCTCCCCACCTAGAATAGCACATCTAGACCAAACATCCCTGAGGGAGTTACCCACTCATCTGAGATTCTCATGCCAGGCTGAGCTGTCTTATTGCATGACTGAGTGAGTACATATCCAACTAGCCTACTTTTATTAGCCAATCCAGACCAGACTGCCTTCACATGCCATCCATCAGTCCATGCTGGCCAGGTTGCCATCCACCCTATTCTGTGATCATCTCCTCCTCCCCTCTTGTTCAAGTCAATTCTACTTCATTATCATTGGACCTTATTGATTTTCCTGTGGATCAACTCACCCTTGGTGTTCCTCCCCAGCCTATTTCCTGCCCAACTCCCCTAGATAAAATGGTCTTCTTTAATTAGAATAGAAGATCCTTGAAGGCAGAAACTATCTCATTAGTATCTCATTAGTATCTCATTAGTGCTAATGCTTAGCACGGGGCTTGGCATATAGTAAAGACAAATAATTTTTCATTCATTTATTAGGACCTGAGGATATTTCTTTCCATAAGCATATTATTATGCAGAGAAAAATTATGCTATTTATGTCTTTCCAGTTAACTAATTTGCATGTCAGATCCAAAAGTGGCAGAGATTGATAAATTCATGCATTATGAAAATCAGAGCAGCTGCAGTTTATGGGACATCTAGGTGTCATAGTGGATAGAGTGCCAGGCTTGAAGTCAGGAAGACTCATCTTCCTGTTAAGTGTGACCCTGGACAAGCCACTTAACTCTGTTTGCCTCAGTTTCCTCATCTGTAAAATGAGCTGGAGCAGGAAATTGCAAACCACTTTACTGTCTTTGCCAAGAAAACCCAAACAGGTTCCCCAAAGGTCAGACACAAGTGAAACTGCACCAACAAAACAAGATTAACAAAGTTGCAGTTTAGCTAGGCATGCAGTTGGCAGTCCAGTTCTCCAGAGGACACACCTACTTTCAGTCCCTCGTGATCAGGCGAGGGGGGGGGGATCAAGGGAATAGCCATGTTCTACAATTGCTTTGAGATGGGATTCTGAGAAGATAAAAATGAAAACTACAGCTGCCTTACGCAAATTAGATGGTAACAGCAGGGACTTTAAGACAAAAGACCAATTAGCTAAATGAAATGTAAAATGTAATTCTCACCATACACTCAGAAAACTTACCTGCAGAAACCAATCATTGTAAATAAATGAGGGAATGTCAGAGAATGTGTTTTTGGAGTGCCTTAGATAAATAAGGCCTTGTACCCAATATCAGAGGGCTCAAAAGAACTCAGAAGACTGGCTTAAATCTTACCTCTATCACTTATTACTGAAATAAGTAGGTCCTAGCTTTCCTTTTCCACAAAAAAAAGGGGGGGAGTATAGATCAGCTGCACTCTTAGTCTCTAAAGCTATACTTTGAAGTGGGCTAAGTGACTTACCCAAGGTCTCACACAAATAGGCAGTGTTAGAGAGGTGAGTTTTGAACCTGAGTCTTCTGAATCCAGGTCCCTTGCTTTTTCTAATGTATCCCACTGCCTTCTCAGAGTGGGCACTCAAACAGTTGTCAAATGAAGATGTTTCTCTCTGCAATCACCAAAAATGTGTTTAAAGTCAGTCAATAAACATTAAGAGCCTACTAGGTGCCAGGCACTGTGTTAATCAGTAGAGATTAAAAAAAAAAAAAGGAAGATAAAAGGCAGGCTTTACCCAGAGGAACTCACAGTCTAATGGGGGAGGACCACATACAAACAACAATGATGTACAATCTACATACAGGATAAATAGGAAATAACAGAGGGAAGGCACTACAATTAAGAGGGATTGGGAAAGGCTTCCTGTAGAAGATGGGACTTTAATTGGGACTCAAAGAAC